ATAAATGAAAATGACATGTTTTGATTATCTACGCATTAACAGACTATTTCCCGCATTTCAGTGCGATTGGGACGCCCCTGAACATTTCAGTTATGTGCCATGCGTGATACACGCTTACTCGATCATGTATCTTTCCATACATGACTGGCAAGGCAGATTTTTTTCTCGCAGTAGGTTGCCATTTCATTCTGCCTTAGACCAGTTTCCATCCAAGGTTATAGAACACGGTATGTCCCGCTATTTAACCATAGCTGGGGGTGAAAAGAAGAGGATTCATACATTTCCCAAGGGTTTTAGCACGTAAGTGAACTCGAATCTCCTATTCCTCAATTCGAGCCGCTATCCACTGCGCTTCCTGAGCACTACCGTTCTTTTTCCCGTTTTTCAAAAGGTATGTGTCAGCTTAGCGATAGTTCGAAATAGTTTCATATTTCTTGTGTTGATTAATCAGTTACATAATTATATACAAAATATCAGCAGAAATGATCCGGGCATTTGATAAGGTATTTATTAATTTGTCGAATTAGCGACGATTTTCGCCGGAAATTCCTCACAATTCTCAAAATCGGGCCCTGAATTATCACCAATCACGATGAATGGAGGTTTCCTCATGGAGGCCCCGTGCCTTGAACGCCTATTGATCATTAAACCCAATCCAGATCTAAGTAGAGATTGTACATATGGTTCATCGCTAAAAATTCTGGAAAAATGTACCACTTCAGTAAGTACCTGACAACTCCTGCTATTCTCTACCCTTACAAGAGACGGATAATGTCTAAAATGGAGTGTGGTGCTGTCATATTTGTTCTGGAGCTGCCCAGTCTTGACTTTCTAGTCTTGATAGTCCAAAAGCATCTCCACCTCCTTTTATTGGTTTGAGGGGGGATTATTTTCCACCTTACAACTCCATTCTCACAGACGAGACGTTGCAAGACTATCGCTGGTCTATCGCTATTTCCATGCAGAGTGCTCAAACGAACTATATTCCGTAGATTCACCAGTTCTAACCTTCTAAGACCCGCCATAGCAACCACACCCATTCCCTTCATATTCCATTGGTGAGCCTATTTCCACAAACCGTTACTTTTTGGAATTGACTCCCAAGAGAGTATTTTCCCGAACACAACAATTTTAATTTGTTCAAGTTTAAGATTAAACGTTATCATCCCCACATATCCGTCTAAACGGTACCACTTACTCAGTAACCCTCTACCTCGAGTGGCTATCAGGCCTCGTAAAGGGTAAAAATCAAATAGACAAGAAAAAAAACAAACAAATTCTCTATCATCAGTCTTTATTTGAGAAAGCCATTTTATGCCCTACGTTCCGAGGCCTTTGTTGTAGCGCTTCATATGTGTATATTTTCATATGTATGTGTGAATATAGTGATTTTCCAAGCGCAGCTTAGATGTGGCACAAGGCCAAAAGTATGGGGTACCCAGTGAGGATCGAACTCACTACTCAGTCGTAAATGTTCTAGCGAGACAAGCTTGCTAACCATTACACCATATTGTGGTGTCCCTATAGTGAATTACCAAGCGTAGCTTAGATGTGGCACAAGGCCGAAAGTATGGGGCACCCAGTGAGGATCGAACTCACTACTCAGTCGTAATTGTTCTAGCGAGACAAGCTTTCCAACTATTACACTGCCTCAAGGTGCCCATGTATGTGTTAATATATGCCGGATTTAAAGTGTGTGTCAGCACACACACACACACACACACACACACACACACACACACACACACACACACACACACACACACACACACACACACACACACACACACACGCCCCTGTGCGCCTGCGCGCACACACACAGACATATTGGGAAATATATGAAAAAGTGGATAAGTTTTCTTGTGACGTATTCCGTCCTTTAAGATATCATCGGACTAAATTTTTTTTTTATGTTAGTGCGACTAGGCTTGCGCACGAACGGGGGATGTTGGATGTTTTAAATTTTAAATCTTTCTTTTCTTAAATCAAGCCGATTTCGTTTTTGATTCTTTTACTTTCCATCACTTTTATCTTCGGCAGGATTAGGAAAATTTCTAGAGAGTTCCCTGATCTCAATGGCATCCACAGTAAATGTACAGCTTTTCACCATTCCTTGCAAAACTTCTACTATCACAGTGTGGAATATTTAATAACAAAAGTGATGAAATAAAAAAAAAAAAAAAAAATCTAAATTTAATCGACTAGAAAAAAAAATCCCAGCATTCCTTGTTCGTGCGCATGTCTAGTCACAATTACATAACATTTAGTCCGATAAAGTCATAAAGGACGTCAAAAGAAAACTTCTTCCACTTTGTCATATATATTTAAAACGTTATGATTTAAACGTTATCATTTTCCACCATGTTCTCTTTCCTTCATGTTTTCTTTTTTCATTTATTCTTTCTTTCTATTTTCATTCGTTTATTTATTTTCTTTTTCTTTACTCTGTTTCATGAATTTCTTTAGTTTTTTCTTTTCTTTCTTTTTCACTCACGTTCATAAATGAATAAAAACGTATCTGTAAATGGACAACATGAATAAAGACAAATAGTAAGCTTATAGCCAAGGCGTTTCGTCCTTTTATTATTTCTCATTATTTATTTAGATTATTATTATTATTATTATTATTATTATATATATATATATATATATATATATATATATATATATATTATTTATTTATAGATTTATTTTGGAAACGTTTCAAAAATAAAATCGTATAAAACAAAAAAAAAAAAGAATAAAAAAAATAAAAATAAACAAAAGTGATAATGTAATTTAAAAAAAAAATCAGAAATGCTCATAAATATTGATCAGGTTAGCTGAAAAGTCAAGGTAAATTATGGGGAATGCTAAGTGACATAATTTAAATTTAATAGACAGAAGTTAGTAAATGATATTATTGAATTTATTTTATTATAATGTAATTAATATTTATATTAGCATCCTCCAGAATTTACCTAAAATGCTTTTATTTGCCTTTGATAAAGTCCATGAGAGGACGAAACGTGTGGGATGAGGTTTTTCCTTTTGATTTTATTCATATATATATATATATATATATATATATATATATATATATATATATATATATATATATATATGTATGTATGTATGTATGGATACATACCTACACACACACACACATATATATATATATATTTCTGTATATATATATATATATATATATATATATTCATTCATGATATGAATATGAAGCACGTTTCTCCATATCTCTAGGGGGTATGTCATCGCCTATAATCACAGACGTCATTCTATCCTCTGGAGTTCTCATCAAATTTTTACGATAAATCTACTGCCATATCTAGGTCCTTGACGACAGAAACATTCTAACTAAAACCGAGAAAGTTGTGTTTGTTGTACAAATTAAATGGTTTGTATATATGGTTTGCAAATCCTGCATTTAAAATTAGGCGATGGTCCCTTTGTTGGGTGCTTTCTCGTTTCCCAAAATGTTTAGTTTTATATGGTCAGTATTTCAATTTAATAAACTAGATGTTAGTAAAAATAAGATCAGTCTTTTTTTTTTTTTTTAAAATACACTCTTTATGTAGAAAATTTTAGAATAATTTCCAAAACGAAAACATTGGCTTAGTATTTGCTGCTATCAACTGTATACGTTTCAGTCTAATGAATGAAGAGAGAAAAATACAATCTCTGAGGTTTGAGTACAATATTACCGTTGTAATGGGAGTCTGGTATGGTAGAATGATTTAATTTCCCCCATTACGGGCATTATTATATCCGTGATATAATAACACAGACGGAACGGAATGGCTGAAAGGAAAAGGAAAAAAGAATGACAAACGCACTTGATTCTCAGAGAGACTTTTATACAAACTAAGACATACACAAATCTGTACACATATATACTCATGTCTCCTGTGGAGAATAATATATTATATATATCTACACAACAAATAAAGTGTAAGGAGAAACAAAAAGAGAGTAGTCTCACATATAATATGGAGATATTCTTGTGTCTGTAGAAGCAATGTTTACGACTCCAGATTCAAACGAGATAGATTCATCTATGTCCCACGCGAGGGCATATTCCACGAACGGGAAACGGCAAGTCTTGGGTTTTCCCAAATAGAGGAGCGCGAATTCGGGTTCTATATAATATATAATTATAAATATATATAATAAATTCTATATCTGAGGATCATATATTCCCAAAGGGAAACGGTACCATGGAATTGTAAGCTGCTGGTGTGTGTGTGGTGGTGGTTGTGGGGGGGCAGATTTAGCATCTACTCGGGCCTTGGGGTGGTCTAAAGCAAGAAACCTTTCGGTTTGGCTGATGTAAAAAACGAACTGAATTTGACTGCCGCTTTCGTCAATGAGTGAAGTGACGTCACTAAATGGCCCGTCACGTGACCCATGGGACTTATCTCCACCAAAGGGAGAAAAGCGCCTTCTGTATCACTCCACTGATTTTTTTTTTTTTATTTAATAAAATCAATTTTTTAATGAGTTTTTTTGCTTCTTTTTTTAAAAGGTCAAAAGAAAATTTTTTCACACACATAATAGCATCAAAGCTTTAAAATATATTTTAATTTGTGTATAAATCGAAGAAAACTCCGTGAGAGAAATGGCTTGTTAGTTGTTTTTGGATAGCGGCATAGCAACACCTCTATGGGTAATGCCGAAATCTAAATATCTTGTATGCAATTTTATTTTATTTTATTTTTGGAGCTAATAATGGTTTTAAGGACATAAGTCTTACTACTTAACCTATAACAGAAGTGAGAAGAGGTGGCTTCCAAGGGTATTTCCACGTAACTGAATATAACGAACCCAACTGGAATTGAAACTCGGCTATCTGATTAACAATACGGATACATTCTCCATTACACCATTCGCACATCTATAACCTTACAGCACCTCATATTCCCAAGCAGTCACCCATCTCGGTATTGGCCAGGTAAGACGTAGTTTAACTTCTATGATCGTACGGGAACTGATGTTTAAACGTTATGATTTTCCACCATGCTCTCTTTCTTTTTTCATTTATTCTTTCTTTCCATTTTCATTCGTTTCTTTCTCTTTCTTTATTCTGTTTCATGAATTTCTTTAGTTTTTTCTTTTCTTTCTTTTTCACTCACTTTTTTGTCTTTCCTTTTATTGTTTTATGCCTTTTCATTCCAATATTCCTATTCCTTTCTTATTACCATCCTTCGTAGATTTTCTCTTTTCATTTACTTTCATTTACTTTCATTTCATTTCTTTCTTTCTTTCAACTGACTGTGTTCTCGTTCATTTTCTCATTCCATTTCTGTTTCTTTTTTCAGTTCAGTATGTTCCTATTTCTTTTCTTTATTTATCTTCTTTCTTTCTTTTTTCATCTCAAATTTTTCTTATTTCTTTTCTTCATTTCTCCCTATTTTCTTTCTTTCTTTCTTTCTTTCTTTCTTTCTTTCTTTCTTTCTTTCAGCTTAACATGTTCCCATTTCTTTTCCTTCATTTAATTTCTCTTTCTTCTTTCAGCTCAATATGTTCCATTTCTTATCTTCATTTCTCTTTCTTTCTTTCTTTCTTTCTTTCTTTCTTTCTTTCTTTCTTTCTTTCTTTCTTTCCTTCTTTCTTTCTATTCAGCTCAACATGTTCCTCTTTCTTTCTTTCTTTCTTTCTTTCAGCTTAACATGTTCCCATTTCTTTTCCTTCATTTAATTTCTCTTTCTTTTTTCAGCTTAATATGTTCCCATTTTTTTTCATTTTTATTTTTTCTTTCTTTCTTTTATATTTCTTTCTATCTCTTGTTTATTTATTCCGTTTTTACTCCTTTTTTGTCTAATTTCTTTTCAGATTTATTTACTATTTTCAATTTTTCGTTCTTTCTTTCTTTGTCTATCTTTTTATATTCTACCTTTTTTTTTATCTATTTTCGTTCCAAATTTTTTACGATTATTAGTTTTCTTTCTTTCTTTCTTTCTTTCTTTCTTTCTAACCTTTACTTTTCAGTCCTCTTTCTTTATTCATATTCTTCTTAAGTTTCTTTGCTTTTTCCTTTTCTTTTTTAAACCCATGATCTTTTTCCTCTTTCACTCTCTTTCAAACTACTTACCTTTTGTTTATTTAATCATTTATTTATTTTCTTGTTTCTTCATTCATTTTTTTTTTCTTTCTTTCTTTCTTCCATCAATTTTTCGTTCCTCTTCAGCTCTGCTTCCCTCTTACCTTCTACTTTCAGGTTTTAATGTCATGAGTCTGGAGCTCGAAAAGAAATTCTTGGCTGATGTCTTGTCAATATGAATTACTGAGAAAGATTCACTTTTTGGCACAGAAACAACGCAACGACACTGACAATATTTCAATCCCAGCAGCATTTACTTTCAGCTCTTGGTAGAAAGTCGTGCCAAAACTCCGACACAATAGAATCACATTTCCGCTCAAATTTCCTCACTTATTCTTCATCATTCTTCTGTCCTCTATCCTTCAATCATGGCGTTATCTTCGTCTTCTCTCTTTCACATCCTGTTTCCATCAAGTTCTTTGGGGATTTTTTTTTGCTTCCCGCCTTTTATTTTTTATTTTTATTTGTGAACTACTAAGCATGACTTAGAATGGCACAAGGCCAAAATAATTAGAAAGGAAGTGTAAAAAGTTTTTTGCCTTATCTGTCAATAAAGTAGGAAGTATTATTCAACATTTGAGTTTTTACCTGTGCTCGAACCTTGACCTCTGGCATATTTGAGTAATAATACTACTAATAAATCTATATAAATTATAACATCTAGTAAATTAAAAGTATTGTTTTATAAAAGGTTTTCAGGGACCGTAGACTGCCTAAATGATAACCCGGTCTTGCATCGGATGCTTTCTTCATCCCTACAATTTAACCTCTTCAAGTCGAAGAACAACCGTAATCTATTGTCAACAATTTTATCACGTAACACTCTACCTTGAGCGGCCCTTGGGCCTTTTTATTCGCTGAATGAGAGTAAAAGAAATTTCACAGTATATTATTTATTATATATTAAATATATTGCATCGTACGTACATAAATGCTAAGCTAAAGTGTAGTCGTTTATGGTAATATTCTAAACGTAGTTTAGATGTGTCACAAGACCGAAAGTATGGGGCATCTAGTGAGGATGTAACTCCATACTAATTCGCTTCTGATCTATTAGGTTTTCTGACAATTAGACCATATCGTATTTCCCCAAAATAATTTTCTAAGCGTAGCTTACATGAGGCAAAAATATCGAGAGTATAGGACACCCATTGAGGATCGAAATCACGACTCAGTCGTGACTGATCTATCAAAGCAAGTTTGTTAACGATAACACCACACCGCGTTAGCCAAAAATGATTTTTTAAGCAGAGCTTATATGTGGCAAAATGACCGACAGTATAGGACGCCCAGTGAGGATCGAACTCACGACTCAATTATAACTGATCTATCAAAACAAGTTTGCTAACCATAACACCACACCGAGTTACCCAAAAATGATTTTCTAATCGGAGCTTATATGCGGCACAAGGACGAAAGTTTGTTGTACCCAGTGAGGATCGAACTCTCTACTCAGTCGTAACTGATCAAGCAAGACATGCTTGCTAATCGTTGCACCACGTTGAGATGTTCCCAACTGATTTTTCTAAGCACATAATTCAAATAGCGAATTCACGGCTGAAAGTATATGGCAGCCAGTGAGGACTCTACTCAGTCGCAACCGTGTGAGCGAGACATGCTTGTTAACCATTACATCGCGTCGAAGTGCCGTAATTGTAACTGGATATAAAAACCGTTTACACAAAGCAAACCGAGTGTATGAAATGCTGTTTGATGAGTTTACCGTTTTTTGACACCAAGTATAAGGCACCCAGTGAGAATCGAACTCAGTTTTAATGTTTAATTAGGTCCGTAACCATTACTTCACGTCGATGTACTAATTGTTAATTATTAAGTTCATCTAAGTTTTGTTACATGGGCGTTATTATGAAGGAATAGGCGTGGCCTCGACTTCACACTTGACCGTCAAAGGAAGCTAGTTGTGGGGTTGAGTTGAGAAGACCCTAGTCGGAGGTGGAGATCAGCAGTTCACCGGATGTCAATGGTTACCCTAGAGGTGACCATCTGTGGGCCTGCAAGAGATTGATTTGTGCGCGCTTGAGAAAACTCGCCGGACAAATGGATATATAAACGACCGCACATAAGGAGTTGGACAAGATCTCGCACATCGTAGATAGAATCGGTCCCGGTGTGACAGAGCTCGCAACACAGTCTGGCCAAGAGTAACGGACGAAATACGGGAGTGAATAAAATGCTATAAAATTTGATGAGCATTCAAGTCTCGTGTTATTTAACTGACACCCATACTTCATTACACAAAGCTTCAAGTATGAGGCACATAGTGAGGATCAAACTCATTACTCAGTAGCAATGGTTCTTTAAAAATTAACTGGCGTTGTTGCTTACTTAATTTAATTTCTTTAACTTAGTTTGGTACAAATAAGAGGCATTCTGTAAGAATAGAATTTACTCAATAGTAATGGTTAACGAGACTAGCTTGCTGATCACTAGTCTATGTTTCAACACCCCGGATGTATGGAATGTTGATCGCAGACTGATTTGGCGAGTGGTCATCTATTTTCTACCCTATGTTCATTATTTGAGAGATAGAGTATTTTTTGCCTTGACCCTAACCCAGGCTGGTTATTTTGGAGTTGAGAAAGGCAGGGTTACCTTTTTTATTGCTTGCCAAATTCAAAATGTGATAAGGATCCAAGTAATAGTTAAAATAGTTTGAGACTGTGCCGGGTTATTCTTTTATCATTGATTTGCAATTTCCATCGGTTTTCGAATGAGTAACGACTACAAACGTTGAGAGTATGTTGGTAACTAGACTTTATAAATTTAAGCCTACTACTAGATTGGCGGAAAGGTCTCATCATCTTACAGTTGAAATGACTAGATGCAACCGCAAGTTCTATGCTAACAGTTTCTTCCATCGCTTGTCGAACGCTCTTCCAGCTTCTTATTTTCGAGTCAATTTTGATCTTCAAAAATTTAAATTCAATGTCAATCCTTATCTTCTGTGATTTAATTGATTTTTTTTTTATTATTCCCTCACCTTAATAATGTTTTCTTTTTCATATATGTTTACACTCAATAAACTTTGCGTCTCAGTGGTTTTATTGCCTTGCTTGTGGGGGTGATGATTAAAAAAAGAAGTAAACCAAATGGGTAAACATGGACCTTCGTATCCGCAAAACATGATGTGTAAAATGAACTGTTGTTTTCTTGACACCGCTATTATTTTAACTACCTTCATTCCTCGGTAATGTTTGCTTTAAAAAGAGATTATTAAAATTGTAATAAGACCTAAACATATAATGAAAGCGAATTTATACATTTTTGTGGGTTTTGAGAATTTACAACAAAAATATTAAACACTATTTACATTATTCGGATTATTGTCCTCATTTTTGTTGCCATATTTATTATAATGTTTCGGCCGTTGTACGCTCCGACCTTCTTCAGTATCTGTCTATATTTCTGAGATGAGGTATTATGTACGCTATTTACATTATTCGGACTATTGTCTTCATCTCACAACGTTTCGGAATGTCGAACTGAACCCTTTATTTCACTCGTTGGGGTAGACTGTTCTAGTTCCACGTGCCATGTCTAATGGATGTCAGTTATCAATTATCTTCTGTTAGTTCCCCTCAAGGACACATGACAAAGTGGATAAAGGAGTTAGTTAGAGCCAATGACTAGACCAAAACAGTGTTGAGTTCAATACCTGGTTAAAGCGGTGGAGAACTTGGAGAGGGTAATTAACAGGAAATAACTGATAACTGATATCCATTAGACATGGCACGTGGAACTAGAACAGTCTAGCAAGCGAAATAAAAGGTTCAGTTCGACATTCTAACCACCTGAAGAAGGCCGGAACGTACAACGGCCGAAACGTTGTGATAAATATGGCAACGAAGATGAGGACAATAGTCTGAATAATGTAAATGGTGTACGTAATACCTCATCTCAGAAAAAATATTAAACACTATTTATTTCTTAGATTGTTTATTTGCAAGAATAATTTTACATTTCCAATGTTCTAAAAAATTATATAATTAAAAACTAATGTAATGCAATATTTATCATCTATTAATTTATAAAGAAATAAATATGAAAACATTTTTTATTCCTAACATATAAACAATTATTAATTATGAAAATATGTGAACTAACTATAATGAAAGCCTTAGTATTTACTATTTTATAAAATTTGAATCAATTGACAAATAGACAACGTTTTTTTCCAGCCATTCCTTTTCTTTTAAACTTTTCACCCCAAACAAAGCGGAAGTGTCACTAGCACGTAAGAGGTTACAGAAGTGGGAGCAAGGATAAAGAGGCGTGAGCGAGGAAAGGATGAAGAGAAAAACGCGGAATAGATCAAGGCACCTGGAGATATCGATTGACATTGCATTTGAATACTTGAAGATTATAGCTATCAGGAAAGCAAGTAAGAGGAAGGGAGTTTCACAGATGGGAAGTGCGACACATGAAGCTATTGAGAGTAGAAGAGGCGGCTACATTTAACCGTTTTTTGAAAGAGTGAGGCTGAGATGCTGACCTCGTGGCACATTTAAATTCATGAAGTTTGGGAAGAAGCAAGGACGTATGACTCAGTGGATAAAGACGTTGGTTAGTTCCGGTGACTAGACCCAAAGAATTGTGCACCACAACAGTGGTGAACCAAAAAACTTTGAGAATTGAGTTAAAGGGAAATAATTGAGACAACCGGAAGAGGTATAGCTCATGGAACTAGAACAATCTACCCCGGTGAATGAAATAAATGTTTCGGTTCGAAATTCAAATCACCTGAAGAAGGCCGGAGCGTACAACAGCCGAAACATTGTGAATATGGCAATGAAGATGAGGCTAACAGTCCAAATAATGTAAATAATGTCAATAATCATAATATCTCATCTCAGAGATATAGACAGATATGAAATCATTTCTTTTTAAAACAATAAACATTGCCAAGGTGTGAAGGTAGTTATTGTGATAAAGTGTCAATGGAAAACCGCCTTTTTGACACGAAGGGCCAAGATGTCTATCAAACGTTTCAATGTAATAGTTCCAATTACAATGCAAAGAATTCATGCTGAATGTACTTTAAAATATAGCAGCTGATATAAAAATGATCTACAATCTGTTATGATTAGAATTGAAATAAAACCTAAACATATGACGAAAGTTGATTTATGACAACTATTTACTCCTGTCTTAATGGTAA